CTAGATTCCTGCCTTGATTTCTGTTGATAAAGAACTGTAAAGTGTAAGATGAAATAAAACCCTTTTATCTACAAGTTGGTTTTGGTGATGGTATTCATCACAGTGACAGAAAGCAAACCAGACACAAAATTTCTCTCACTTCTTCATGTCAAGAAAGAGATGGAAAGAGAGCTTCAGAGGCCTGCTCCATAGCTCGGACAGGCTTTGAATTCGAGATCTTCCTGCCTCATCCTCCTGCATACTTGGATTATAGGCTTATTCTACCAGGCCTGACTATTTTAATATTTTATTTAGGGGTGTGTGTGTGTGTGTGTGTGTGTGTGTGTTGTGTGTTGAAGTATGGCTTTATTCATCACAGAATAAATAAATGCATTTATCTGTAGGTAGTCAGACCAGATTGCATAGTCTCAGTGTCAAATATGCAAACTATTAAACTCCTGTATTCAATAAAGCACATGCTGGTTCTAAGAATGAGACACGTTTGGAAATGAGACATGATTCATTTACTTATTCTGGGCTAGCAGGCTGACCTTAGGATCACTGGAGAGTGGGATATCTGAATTGTAAAATACACATCGGTTTTGTGGGACTTTTATTGCTATTGGACAAAACAAGAAACAAGAACACCGAGAAAATTAATTTCTGGGCCTCAGTCCCACGCACCAAACTAAGAGTAATGACGTGTTGATCCACAACACTTTGAGAGATCATATCTGACAAAAATTTAACCATCCCCATTACTTTGACAGTTCTGTCTAAATATTGTCAAAACATCGGGTTGGCTTGAATAACCTAATCAATTGGCCATTTTGGGTACTGTAGTCAAGCTAATCACTTTACTTCTCTTGTAAATGGATTATGGAAAATGTCAACTCAGCTAATGTAAGCAAAGAAGATAGATAGTTTTAATTAATTAGTTTACTTTGCCCCCAGTATAATTATATAGCACCTGAAATGTCATTTGATGGAAGTAGGGTCCCTTCTGCGAGACCCTGATTGGAATCTAATGCTTGGGCCTGCAGGTGCCTTCTAGGGTAAGATAAATAGAGCGTTCATTTCTGATTTTGACACGAGATTCAGCTGGAAGGGATTGGTCTCAGGGACACATTAAGTCAGTCAGTCAGTCATTCATCTTGCTATGTATTCCACCTTGCTAAGTGCTTTAATAGCCCTTCAGTCAACCCTTGTGTTCGGCCTGGGAAGATAGTTAACTCAGAACAAATAATAACTCATGTTGGTCAGTTTACTTCTATTTTTAGGCTGCTTTATCAAAATGGTCAATTTAACCACTAGTTCTGGATAGAGGGTATTCTGCCTCATTCTAAAAAAAAAAATCCCTATTCTTTTTGTACTTGAATTCAAATAAAGACCCAAAGATTATACGCGAGGAAGGACACCCTGCTTATAAGCACTATGTTAAGTCCTTGCCTGCAGGGGTCCTCAGGTCTGGAAAAGGGACAGTTAGAGTAGAGCTTGCCTATGGATATATGAGTTGAATGAAGACTGCTGGGAAGTGTGCTTCTGGGTGCCCATGTACGAGTGAGAGTGTATGTGAAATTTGGGAGTACGAGGGCTATTGGTCTGAATAGGAACTCAGAGATGTCTGGGATAGGGGAGATAGCTCTGAAAAACAATGCGTCTCTAATGCTCACCTCTACGCCAGCGCAACTTTACATTTGTATTTTCATTTTATCTTTGGAAGTATGTTCTGTGTGGGGAGGAGGGTAAAAAGGGGAAACTGATTTTTTCCCGTGTATTTTGTATCCTTCATCATTGGAGGAAAAAAAAACTCTCAAAAACATACACAAACAGACACACACACACACACACACACACACACACACACACACACACACACACACATTCTGGTCCTGGGGCTAGAGGCATGGCTTAACAGTTAAGAACACTTGTTGCTCCTGCAAAAAATCAAGGTTTGATTACGTGGCAACTCATAGGCATCTGTAATTCTCGTTCTATGGGATCTGATGCCCTCTTCTGACCTCTGTAGGCACTGCAGGCACATGGTGCACTCATACATGAAGGCAAAACACTCGTACACATAAAGTAAAAAATCTTAAGACAAAAACCACAAGTCCTTTAAAAAATTACTGTTAAGTAAATCTTTCAGGAACAAACAGGTTCTAAGAAAAAAATTGATGTAATTTACTATTGTTAAATCTGTTCTGAAGAGCTGCATAATTTATTCAAATGACCCAAAGCTTTTAAACTCAATCTTCAAGTGAAAAAAAAAAAATTATCCAGTCCCCGGGAGATGGTATTTTTCTTATGCTGTATTGCTTCCCATGACCGACATTTATTGGACTCTCAAGTGTATTTACGTTGTTGGTTTAACTGGGAGTTCATTGCTGAATCTATAATATGCTGTACTTTTTTTCTTTTTGCTTTGAGTGGTGTCAATATTATTGCTATTCCTTTTTTATTCTTTCCCTCTTAATTCCTTGCAGTTACACCTTTTTCTTTGACTTGTAAAAATTTATCCTCTAAAATTATTAAGAAACAAAGTAAAGGTGTTTTGAATCTTCTGGGATATATATGACTCTTTAAAGTTCTGCACGACAGAACTTACTATAAGGAAGAATGAAAGCACTAGACAAAGGTCCCCTGCTTTGAGGGAGTGTTCAAGGTTAGTTCTTCTGGAGGCCAGCCTGCAGGTTTTTGTATCTCTCTAAAGTTTATAGCTAACTGCCTGATCATTTCTTTGCAAGGGGGGACCAAGGGGGTGAGGCTCGAACTAGAATAGGGTGGGAATCTGACCCACTGTGACTACTCAGAGGCTCTGGCCTGGAAAATTCCCTGTATGTTGCAAAAACAAACATTTGAAATGAAGGCAGAAACCAGGCTTAAACAAAGAATGAAACTCATTCTCCTTTCAACTCTCCTGCTGATAAACATATGTGCCCAGTCTTTTGTTTCCCAGACATCAAGTTTCCATTATTTGAACAGAGCTTCTACCTGAATCTGTCCAGAGCATAAGACAGACATATTTTGAGATTTAACAAATCGGTGTGTGTGTGTGTGTGTGTGTGTGTGTGTGTGTGTGTGTGTGTGTGTGCATTTGGCCAATATCCAAACCCATTAAATCAAAAGAAACGCTACAATGGTGCCCTCAAGCCTTTAGAGCTTACTGTATTTTTCAGGCTATGCTAAGCAACCCTTACTGATTCTATATGCTTATGTGTTGTAGGATTTACTTTATTATCAAGGTAGAAACAGAGGTCACAAGCTGTCTGCTACTTCTGGTGACATGTGTAATTTTGTCCTCTCTTACCTATGATCACTTCTCTTGTTCTACTGAACTTCATACCTTTGTGCTATCTTTTAAAGACAATGATATATTCCTTTCCTTGTAACTTGAGAGGCAATAATGCTCACTACTGTACTACCAACGTACTATTGCCTGCTTCTTTGAAGAATAGGATCCACAGGATCATTGGAATCACACAGCTGTTTATAGTGTTGTGGGTTACCTGATTATCTGCAGTAACTATAGAAAATTGCCCAACCACACATTTCTCTTCCCTGATCTCCATTATGCTAATACTTTGAAGAAGGATACTTTCCTTTGTATAGCAATCCATCAAAATTTCTTCTTTTTTGTGCTTTTGTAATAACTTTTTAACTGTCAGCAATGAGATTGTCTGCAAATGCTGCATGTATCTTTTTTGCTCAGCAAAAGGAGAGATGAAAGGAGCAGCTAGCAGTGTAGAGATTAAAAAACATGATCTCTGACATGAGTTTACTTTTGCCGAAATTCACATGTCCTCATAATAGCTGTGGGACCTCAGAGAATTTATTTAAACTCTGTCACCCTGTGTTTCCTGATTTGTAAAGAGGTAATAATATTAATACTTTATTAGGGCATCTGCTATGTGTTGGGCATCATTTTAAGTACTCTAAGTTAGTTTATTTAATCTTAGTAGCTTTGTGATATGAATAATTAATATCATCCCCATTTCTCAGACAAGCCAGAAGATACTTGAAGAAGGAAAGTAACGTGACTGCCTTCATAGAATTAAGATCTGGCAGAACTTGACTGATGAAGCTGAGTGGATGGACCTCAGAGGCCATTTCTTACAGTGTGCTATGGTGCCTCTCTGTTGAATGATTGGGCATGAAGTACACAGCACAGCTTCAGGCACAAAGAAAGCATTTACTGTCAACTGGCATTATCCTTCTTTTGGACCATATTCATTTTCTCACTCTTGCTGCTGCTGGATTGTGTGAAGGTGATCATCCTTCCACAAAAGGGAAAGAAATCAGAATATCATCATCATCAGTAGCAGCAGCAACAGCAGCAGTCTACAATAACAGCTAATTATTTTCTTACCTTGTTGTTATCTATACGAGCTACAGTTGTGACCGAGTCACATGAACAGAGGCACTAATTGTTAAAACCTTTTTATTGTCACAGGAAAATTTATCCTTTCTATCCTCTACCTTCAGCAGCAGGACAACCAAAGTGTTTCAAAGCAAGGTAGAAAACTTAAAAGTTGTAGACTTCAAGTAAAAATTGCTACCATTCTTTAATAAACAGGGGTAAAAATTTCAAAATGTACTTAAGGCTCTAAAATATGTTTGTGAACAAAGATTGCTACTAGAGTAAACTCTTTAGCCTCCCTATTCCTTAACTTGTTTTAAAATGCCATGATCAAGAAAACAGAAAAAGAAAATTTTGCTAAAGTTTATATTCTTCTCTTAAAGTAAGCCCCCGAGTTTAAAATTCTCTAGCACATTTGTGGAAACTTCATTTTTTTTTTGTCTGAGATTTATTTGAATGAGCTGTTATGATTGGAGACACGAGAATTTCAGATTAATGTTTTGCAGCCAGAAAAAAAAAACCCTCTGGAAAGCTGGCAAGTGTTCATAAGTCAGCCTCAGAATTATGTAGATTGAAGGCTCCCCAGTGGACAGAGCGAATATATAAGAGGGAAACCAGAGGTCTGGTGCAGTTGCATCTCAGAGTCTAAGGATGGAGGGAGCACAGAACTAAAAGCTTTCTTCAGCCTGAATTTTTAAGGTAAGTCAGAACAATTTATACACGCTTGAGTTGGGAAGGAGAACATACAGCAATAAAAACTGCTTGTGTGCATGGACGAACGGTTTCTTTTTCCTGTATTTTAATACTGCATTTTGCAGAATGCCTTAATTCTTTAACTGCTGTTTCTCTTACAGGAGTGCGTGTGGGAGCTAAGTAAGCTGATTTATGATAACTGCTTTAAACACTGGCAATTAGTAAGTCTTTAGTGGGATTTATTTTTGTTTCTTTCATGTTGATTTGTAAGATCATACAAAAGAATGGGCGTTTGACAGAAATGACAGTTTGCCGTTTCTTAGGAAGTTCTCTGGTGGTTACATTCTAAATTGAGTATTTGCTTGTATGTACTTTGAAACTATCTGGTATTATAGTTTTTCTGTTTGTATGTTTATCTTTAGTTTTTTTTTGTTTCAAAATAATATGGCTGGTGTAAAGAAAAAAACCACCAGCCCCCCCCCACCTGAACACTGTCCTTAATGTTGGAAAGTAATGATTATCTAATTCTGTTAAACTGAAAAGATGGCAAAGAAAAAATGGTGAGACTATATCATAATTAGACACTGATGTTAAATTCTGATTTAATTAAGCAACCAAAGCTATAACTGTTTTGTGGTTTTGTTTTCTTTGTCTTGTAATTAAATTGAAAATTAATTTGTTTCCTATGAGAGAGATCAGATTTAAATATCCATATTGAAAACCAGCATTAACTATCAAAATTTTGAGGTAAAGGCTTTAAGAAACATACATATCCAAAGTTTCTTCTTGTTATAGTGAGAAAACAAGAGGAATGTAAATAAACAGGTTATTTTCCACTAGCAAAGACCAAACCTGACTCTCTATCCCAATATACTCTTTCCGTATATTCTTTCAGTTCTTTGTACACTTGCCTTTTTTTCCTATAGCTTGTGTTACTCATATTTTCCATGGCTGTAACAATTTGTATTTAACAAGTTAAGCAGTGGGTAGAAGTGAGATTTCTAGAAAGAAAATGGAGAAATAAGCCTCTGTTTTTGAACTTTCAAGTTGATTTTGGACTCCTTCTTATTTGTCTCATAGAATCCCTACCTGACTAATTTTTAAGCTATTAATTTCTCTCTAGATGTTTCAAAGACATGAAAGGAGAGAAAGACAAAAAGTTTTGCTCAGAATTTTCAGTCTAAGACTACTGAGAAAATGTTGATTTTTTTTTCCCTCAAGAGGTAATAGTCCTATTTTCAGGCATGGTGCTATTTTATAATGTTTGCTACAAACGCTTACCTTATTATGACTTTTAATAAATTTTCAAAATGCTTATGACTCAAATAGGTTTTAGATGTGCATTAAGCGCTCTACTTTTCTCCCCTAGAGAAGACGTGAGAACTAGGAGACGCTGACAATTCAATATGAAGGACAACTTCAGTTTTGCTGCTATCAGCAAAAACATCACCAGCAGCCTCCCTTTTGATAGTCTCAACATATCTGGCACCAATGAGTCCACCTTTAACTGCTCGCACAAGCCATCAGATAAGCATTTGGAAGCAATTCCTGTTCTCTACTACATCGTTTTTGTCATTGGGTTTGCTGTTAATATTGTTGTGGTCTCGCTGTTTTGTTGTCAAAAGGGCCCTAAAAAGGTTTCCAGCATTTACATTTTCAATCTGGCTGTGGCTGATTTACTCCTTTTGGCCACCCTTCCTCTCTGGGCATCTTATTACTCTTACAGATACGACTGGCTCTTTGGACCTGTGATGTGCAAAGTGTTTGGTTCTTTTCTGACCCTGAACATGTTTGCCAGCATTTTTTTCATTACCTGCATGAGTGTTGATAGGTACCAATCGGTTATCTATCCCTTTCTGTCTCAAAGAAGGAATCCCTGGCAAGCATCTTATGGAGTGCCCCTTGTCTGGTGTATGGCCTGTCTGTCCTCACTGCCAACATTTTATTTCCGAGATGTTAGAACCATTGAATATTTAGGCGTGAATGCTTGTATTATGGCTTTCCCACCTGAGAAATATGCCCAGTGGTCTGCTGGGATTGCCTTAATGAAAACTATTCTTGGTTTTATTATTCCTTTAATATTCATAGCAACGTGTTACTTTGGAATCAGAAAACACCTGCTGAAGACCAATAGTTATGGAAAGAACAGAATAACCCGTGACCAAGTCTTGAAGATGGCAGCTGCTGTTGTGTTGGCGTTCATCATTTGCTGGCTTCCCTTCCATGTTCTGACCTTCCTGGATGCTCTGGCCTGGATGGGTATCATTAATAACTGTGGAGTCATAGCAGTCATTGACCTGGCACTTCCTTTTGCCATCCTCCTGGGATTCACCAACAGCTGTGTGAATCCCTTTCTGTACTGCTTTGTTGGAAACCGCTTCCAACAGAAGCTGCGCAGTGTGTTCAGGGTTCCGATTACTTGGATCCAAGGCAAGAGAGAGACGATGTCGTGCAGAAAAAGTAGTTCTCTTAGAGAAATGGACACCTTTGTGTCTTAAATTTGTTCATGGGATGCTTGTAACCAGCTTAGCTATTGGTTTGGAAGCCCATACAAATAATCTTTAAATGGCACCAGTATAATGTGTTTCTTTGCCTTGTCTAATCTTTGCTTACTTCCCCAGAATGGAAAACCAAATATAACTGAAAACTTTTATACCCCACCAGTTTTCAGTGATTCTGCCTTGTTTTTCTGGCCCTTTGGCACACCATTGTCATGGGTGAGCTATATCTATAATATAGAAATAATTGGGGGGAATGATCTCAACTGTAATTGATAAAAATTATGAATGGTGATTTGGAGTTTTAGATTTCTCCCTGGAAAATGCTGGCATTTCTTAGTGGAGTTCTATGTCCACCTTCATCAGATTTTTCGTTCTCTTTTAAAAAGGGCCAGTTTTAACTTCTTACATTGCTTTTTGTACAATATCCTATAAAAGGTGGACACTAAGTTTAGCATGATATACTTTTCTACATATTCCTTATGTAGGTAGTAGTTGATTCAGTCTCTTAGTGTATGGTTTCTCCTTTTTTAAAAAAATACTGTATGTTGTGTTTCTTTTCCATTTTACTTGAGTATAGCTTTGTACTTGCTATATAGCTACATACTGAGTAGGTCTAAGAATGTAGATTAAATTAGACGTAATTTTTAGCTTAGTCCTGTAGGTTTAGAAAGTACACTACTTAGTAAAAGAGAAATGCAATGAAAAAATATTTTACTACACATTAAACTGAATATATATACTTTGAAAACTTTTAATCCATTTTGACAATTGTTTAAAGCTTTCTATTCTCTTCTGATGATTTTTGAATACAGCACAAAACTCTGTGTATTATTACACTATGTAAAGGTCACTTTTTACATTTTTAACCTTTTGACTGTGGTGCTTTGATATATTCAATGGTGACTTGGGTTTAATTTTTCATGCTTTTGTTCTGGGCTGCGTCCCAAAATATCTCTTTGACCCTGAAAAAAGAGAGGATTTTTTAATTCCTTAACTTCATAATAGACTGAAAACTGGCATAGGAAAAGGTTATGTCAGAATGGAATTTTGATGCCTTCTTAGGGGCAAAGAGAACCAACAAATGGTAAGTTTGGTGTCCTACAAGGAACTTGTCAGAAAAAGGCATTCCTGCCACAAAAATGTTTAAACCCGCGTCTTTGGGCACAATTCCAAAATGTATAATAGTCTGCGAGAGTGATTTAAATCAAACACAGATCCATAGACTTCATTCTCAACATGAGTACATCTCCTACATTAGAGGAATATATTACCTGAAAGTGAGTTACCTGAAGCTTACCCAAACTCGAGAATGAATATTAATTCACAAGTTTCAGATTTCATTCTCTGGCTGCCCCATATTATACCAGGCTACCTAAGACCTTCCTGGACCAATGCTGAACTATGAGGTTGATTTAAAGTTATGGAAACTCAACATTTCTATCAGATTCCAGGCTTTTAGTTTGTAGAATCCTCTCACACCCCTTCCTGGAAAAGCCCTGATTTCATGTAATCATATTCTTTCAGTAAAAACAAATAGTTAAATGTGTAATCAGTTACGACTTTGTGTTTTAAATAATCTTACACAACTTCTTATAAAAATAAAATCATTATTGGGAGACCATGTGTGTTGTTTGTTTTAACTCTCTCTAGGTGTAGACCCTTATCTCCTCTTAGTATCATTCAGAAAAATCTCAATTCATACTTCTCAGTTTCAGCTTGCATCATCACTCATTCAGGTCAATACTAGACAGGCATATGGAAAGAGGATGTTGGAAATAAATTCTGATACCTCCTTGGGGTTCAAATGACAAATGTGGTGTCAACCAAGCAAGCTGTCAGGCACGGAAGTGCAAAATAGGCTTTAGCATATAGGTTGTCAACATTCAGCCCATGTTATTTTCTCTACCACAATCCTAACTGCTCTATATCCCTTCCCCTCCATTTCCTGGGACTTTTCTTAATCCTTTTTTTTTTTTTGGATTTTTAAAGACTGGTTTCTGGGGCTGGGGGGATGGCTCAGATGTTAAGACCACCAGCTTCTCTTTCAAAGGATCCAGGTTCAAATATCAGTACCCACATGGCAGCTCAGAAGGGTCTGTAACTCCAGTTCCAGGGGATTAACACCCTTTTCTGGCCTCCACAGGCACCAGTCATGCACAAGGTGCACAGACATACAAGCAGGCAGAATACTTACACGAATGAAATAAAATAATAGTAACAACAAAAAACTGATCTCTACTTCCATACGAGGTCAGTAATGAATCCCGCCCCAAAGCATATTTTCCTAGTTTTTCTGCAAGTAAGAAATGTAAACTGAACAGATAATGCAAAAATATATGGATTCTGACTGAAGGTATGTTTCTGCATACAAATATCCACTTTCTTCTTTGAAGTGTAAATTTCAGGTGGCCTATTGAGACCACATGAAGAACTTATTTTTCCCATTTTGCTGTTTATCAAGATTTTACCTATGAGCTGAACATTGTGTGGCAGGTGTCATTTTGTCTGCACTATCCCACTTTTATCTTATGACTCAGGTATTCTCATGTTGCAAAGAAACTGCGGCACAGAACATCATCCCTAACTGATATATAAAACAGAACAAATGGGCAACCACAGAGAAGCATTTAGTGTCTTTCATGTCAGTCCCAAGCTATCAAGTATTTTAGAGACACTTGTACGTAGTTTTCCAAATTTGTCCCAAACATAACTGATTCAAATGTTTCTAGGCAGGTGATGTACTTTCACTTAAGATGATAACGAGGAGGTTTCTAGAGAAGGCTTTCTCTCTTATTTTTGAACGTTTCCATCTTGTGCCCTAGGCCTCACAGAGTCACATGGAGTAACTAGTAATATGTTACACAGAAAGCAAGTCAGGATTCTGAAACATTTCTTTTGAGGAAGAAATACGTTGATCAGGAGTTTAATCTCTGATAAGAGATTACCTTTGGTTATCAAAGATGTTTCTTGGAATTTACAGAAAATATGTTTTTATTGTGAACTAGAAATATGGCCTAAATCAAATAAGCTAAATAGCATCCTTTACAAAAAAGTTCTAATCTGTTTGAACCCTGCTTCCAAATATGAAGGTAAGCCAATTCTAGCCTGTCTCTTTCTGTCACAGGCATCAGAGCCTGGATAATTGTCTGGTGGCCTCACTTCTCAACAAAAGAGAACCACGGACTCAACAAAATGAATGAACACACAGGGTGACTGGAGCACAAAAGGATTGGAACAAAAAGTAGAATATATTAGTTATTTTGCTGATTTGCAGATGAACGGCATTAGCACTGCTAACTTCCACACCCAACAGAAATTCACTAAGTTGTCACTGCGGCCTCACCCATGCTTCAGAGCTGAATTGAAAAGGTCGCCTGTATATACATACTTAGAAAATTGAGCATCTTTGGAAAGAGACAGTTTTCTCTCCCCCACACCCGGATGAGAGAATTCTTTCTAAGATGAGAACTAATTGACATGTATTCCTTATAAAGTCAGTACTTAATGAAAATTTCAACTATTTAAAATTAGCCATAGGTGATAACCACATTATAAAGTTTATTTTGGATAAGATACAATATGCATGCTCATTTCTTTTTCTTTTAGTTTATTATATACCAAGTATGCCATTCGTCACCCTGTGTAATAGTAATTTAATATTTTAGATATTTTGACACAGTACTTCCATCTGGTTTACTAGTCAATTTTCTTCCCATTTAGTTCTTCTCTTCTATAAAATCCTAAAACCATCAGGACTTTAAGCAATCCATGAGACCACACCTGATTACCATTGCTTAATAATGGAAAGTGTTGGGAAATCCAATTTTATTAGTTGGCTATTATCATAATTTTATATATTATATATTATTTATATGCATTTGTATATTTATACATACATATATTTATGTAATTTTATTTATTGATATATATGAATAATTTTATTAATGTGTTGTTGCTATTCTTCAGCAATAGGTCCACATGAGATTAGATGGCTCTGTAGTTTGGTGCAGATCCTTTCCCTTTACCACTTAAGCAGCTTGGAATTAATACATGTATCAGACAACCGAAAAAAGTGCAAGAAAATTCTTTTTCTTTCTCCTATAACATAAACACTTATTTACAACTTATGTATGCCATAGTTGATGTGGACTTAAACATTTAATTCTTTAAGCACGTGCATGTAGCCAGTAACAAACATCTGAACTCCAGCAGGAAGGACATACCATATCAAACACTGGTTCTCTCCTTCTTTTAAAAATTCTCTTCTAAGCTACCAGAGTTACATATTAAACTTATTATCAATACAAAAAAGTATCCCATATTAAGTGTAATGTGGTTGATGTTGCCCTCTAAAAATGTGTATTGGGTGTTTTGTCTTCATGATATCTGCACACCACTTGCATGTCTGGTGCCAACAGGACAGAAGACATTTTTGAATCCCATGGAACTAAAATTACAGGAAGTTGTGAGCCACCATGTGATTTTTAGAGATCCAACTCCAGGGCCCTGGAAGAGCAGTCAGTGTTCTTGCCTGTTGATCAGCTCCGTGGTGTGTCTTCTTGATGACAGAAGTAGGGACTGTCTTAACACAGAGACTACACAGTAAGAGCTTGGAGCTTCTTAGAAGGTCTAGCTCTTGATTCCCTTATTTTCAGGAGTCCCACACTCCCCAGAACCCAAGCTCAACATTTTAGTGCATAGAGGATGCATACAGACCTCCCTTTTCTGAAAAGATTAAAACCATTCTAAGTCTTTTCTGAAGTCAAGATTCCTTCCTGTAAAGCTCTGGAGTGATAATTACCACTATAAAAACTTTAACAATGATCATTTTTTGATCAATAACAGCTTGAAATGTTTGTAAATAACTACTTTGAAATAATATTTTTACTCCTACTTGGGGATTTGTTATTATGTAGTCTCCCAATCCAAATTCCAGTTGAATCAGTAATATTCAATACAACTGTATTCGGGTATTTGGAAGTAACTAATGATGAAAT